TTCATAGTATCACCCCCCTTTAGGCTTCTACTAGGGCCAAAGTAAGGCCTTCATAGAACTTTTTATTTTTCCTCAAGAGTATATTGTTCAGTGATGTATTGTACTCACTGCTTACTCTTTTCTTTGTTTGGGACACTTCTTAGGTAGATATTCGAGATCCCAGTTGTGTGATCTGAGTGTTCAGGGCAGGGACCGTGCGTAGTGCATAGAATGAGTCCTCGGTGGGTGGCTTTTTCAGTCTCACAGCTGATTAAGTACTTCAGTGCTTCTAACCATAGGGCACATCATTAAATACTCTGAACCAGTGTTTCCTGGATTTGAGTGATTCCTACACTACCTTCATCGTTCTTGTCGTAACTGTTGATTAACACAGAGTATTGTCCTAATTTTAGTCATATTTATATACCACCTGAACTATTGTTTATTTAGTATTTTAAGTCATTCTTTTTTTTTTTTTTTTTTTTAAGATTTTCTTTTTCCTTTTTCTCCCCAAAGCCCCCCGGTACATAGTTGTGTATTTTTAGTTGTGGGTCCTTCTAGTTGTGGCATGTGGGACGCCACTCAGCATGGCCTGACGAGCGGTGCCATGCCCGCGCCCAGGATCTGAACCGGGGAAACCCCGGGCTACAGAAGCAGAGTGTGAACCCAACCACTTGGCCACGGGGCCAGCCCTTAAGTCGTTCATTTTTAACTTAAATTTATGTAAAAGGAAACTTTATATCACTATTGTAAAAGGAAAACTAGTTTGACTTGCTACAAATAGAATATAGGTTTACAGCCCCTTCTCTCAGACCCTAGGATATGTGTCAAAATTCAGATTTTTTGGATTTTAAAGACGTAACATGGTTTACTTATCATATATTACATAAAACTCCTATTGGTATCTGAGGTAAAAATCCCCTTAATCAGATACATTAATACTTTTCTCCAGCGAAGTGTTTGATTATTCATATTTAGTGGGATAGCCTGTGTCAGCTCAGGTCAGGTTTTGCTGCCAGATGAGGTTGGGTCAGGTCAGCCTTTGCCACCAACAGAGTTAACAAAAGTTTTTGTTTTCAGGGCTTTTTGGATTTCAGCATTGGGGGTGAGACAAAGTGAGAAAAGACAATAGTTTTAAGCTCTAGGTAGATACCATTGTTTGCTGAAGTGCCTGCACCTGAATCCTGCTTCTCCTTGGTTCTAAAAAGAGATTGATGGGGAATAAAAGGGACACATTCGCCCCATGTGAGACTTTCCCACCTGACTTGACCCTTACACCATTCCAGTCTCTTGTGCCTAATTTATTTTTTGCATTTCTTTTTTGAGTTGTTCCAACTACTTGTAAGGATTGATATTGTATGACTTATTCTTCCTTAGAGGTCTTTCAAAGAATAAAGAGAAAACAATTCAATAGAATTCATTCTTCTACAATTACCCTTTGGACCCTTTAAAACCTAAGATGTATTGCGGAATCTTAGTGATTTTACATTTCCAGTATCTTGAAACAATTTGCTGTTTGATCATCCTAGGAATTATTTCATTATTACTCATCAGTTATTTGTAATTGTGGTAAAAAGCCTAATAAGAAAACAGAAGAATGATGAAATCATGTAGTATTGCATCATTTTTCAAGAAAAGATACATAAGTAGTCTGGACACACATCTTTACAGTCTTTTTTTTTTTAGCTTTCATTGAATACAGTTGCTAAATCAGAGTTTTAAAATTTTCTACCCACAATGGTAAAGGGAAGAAAATTGCCGGTATGTTAAATAATTATTTAGATAAATCAGAAAATGAATGCAAAGAGACACACTCTAGGCCAGCTCTGTCCAGTAGAAATATGATGCAATCCACATGTGTAACTTTACATTTTCTAGTGGTTACATTTAAAAAATACAGATGAGGCTAATTTTAATAATACATTTTATTTGACTCAGTATGTCTAAAATATTTTATCATGTAATCAACATAAAATTATTAATGAGATATTTTGTATTCTTTTTTTTTATACTAAGTCTTCAAAATCTGGTGTGTATTTTTCACTTACAGCATTTCTCAATTCAGATCTGCCACATTTCAGAGGCTGGATAGCTACATGTGTCTGAGTGGTTACCATGTTGGACAGCACAGCTCTAGACTTTAATGATGGTGGTGAAATTGATCACATAAGAGGAATTTCACACTATGAATCTTCAGATGATAATGTTCTAGATATATGTTCTCAAACTCAAGAATTGATGACAGAACAATATATTTTTTAAGGAGAAAAAGGAAATATATGTGATATTTTCATCTAGTAAGCCATTCAACAGGAAGGACTTTGTCCCACAATATTTTATAATAAGAACTTGAATCATCCCCTTTTGCTAAAAGTGCACATGACAGTATCCCTGCATCCTCTGTGACGTTTGTGCACCGTACATAGATAAATGCTGGAGGTATGCAAAGGTGATTGGAAGGAAATAGTCGATGATGAAATGAAACAAGTCACTGGGTTGATCATTTGAATTTGTCTTTATAAACCTAAGAATGAAAATGTTTTGCAATTATGGTGCAAAGAAAATGGCTGAACTCTCTTCTACAAAATTAGGAGCTGTCAAAAGTTTTAAGAAATAGTACATTTTGATGGTGCAAATGTGAGAAAAAGAACCAGAAGTAATGATAAGCTAGAACCTATTGGAGATAATGTTTTCAATTTGAAATCAGTATTCTAAAATGGTTATGTTCCAGGTTTATGCGTGATAGCTGATGAGCAGCTAGTTGCATTCAAAGGACATTGCGCATTTCAGATGTGTATGTCGTCAAAACCTGGCAAATATGTTTATATTCTTATTTATATTTCTGTAAAGTTATTTTATGTTATTCTGTCATTCTTACTTCTGTAAATTTTTTGTAAAATGACTTTAAAAAGAATCCATTGGACCCAGGTGGTAAGTGATGATGATGACTATTTTTCCTAGTATGCTGAGGGTTAATCAGAAGGTTTGCAAGAAACTTTTCCATTATGATTCAGTGTTATTTAATGTTGCTTAGGTATGTCACTGAATTCATCTTAAATGTTCCCAGTTTGGGGAAATATTCTTCTAAGCTACTGTTGAAAGAACAAACAGTTGGACTTGAAGTTCCCATGACAGACTGAACACACGCATCAAATCTTGTTCCTTCCCCCCAAACTCTGCTAACGTACAGTAAAAGGACTATTAAAAAGACATAAATCCATAAACAAGAGAGGAGACAACAGCAACAGAGTTGTCAAAGCTGGAGAGCAGATGGCTGAGATAACTAACTGAGCACGCCCCAGAGGCAAGTCTGAAGTTGGTTGTGAGACAAGCACCAGATACCTCTGGAACCAAGGGTGAAGGGACAGGTACCTAAATAAGGAGATTTGAGTGAGAGCTGTTTAAAAACCAGTTAGATCCCAAATTCTCTGCAGCTGGTTCTTCTCCCTCGCTCCAGCAGAAGTAGAGGTTTATCCTCTTGCAGGGGTAGAACATCGGGTCTCTAGACTGGGAGAGTCCAGACACAGCTGTGGGTACTACCCTAAAAGCATAGGGATGTGCTCATAGCTCTGTCCCCCGCCTGGCTCTCTGAGCACTGGGGACCAGGCCCTCCAGACAGGGTCCTGGAAGACTCTTCTCTGGGAACTCTGACCAATCCAGGAAGACCTAAGGTTACTGCGTTGGGCGCTTACCCAGAAAAAGTGCACGCAGATCACCTGTTGTGAAGCCTCTTGCCAGTAACTTCAACCGTGTACTCAGAGCTTTTGGTCAGCTCTTCAGGAGGTCTCCTCTCAGTCATGAGCCAAGGGCCACTAGATTCTGAGGAAGATCTCTAATGCAGAAGATAGAGACCAAAAGAAGCAAAGAGGGAAAAAGTAGCTTGGAAGAAACTATAACAAACCAAAAACAACAAAAATCATCAAAATCCTCAGAAATAAGAGAGTATTGCATCCTTGAAACAAAAATAGGATGCTAAAATAAAAAGGATCACTCAGGTGACATGAAAGAGCTCTTGAAGTTAAAAACATGATGGCAGATACCATTTTAACTATCGTTTTTAGTTCTTTTGGTGGTTACATCCATAACTATAAATAATGGGTTTATACTATGATTTCTTGTCACTTTAGACATTATTTTGTTGTAGTAGATTAACACACTTATATTTCTCTTTCTTCTTTTCTCTTTCTCTTAATATACTTATATCATTTAAAAATATTATTTACTTTTGGCCTTTAAAAGATATACTTAGATCTCTATTTCTTATTCTACCAACTATAAATAAAATCAGTTTCACTCGTGAATTCTCTCTCTCCCCACCTAGTCTTGTTCATGGATGCTTTATCACCTAGCATTGAAGAGGAAGATACGCTAGTTTAGTAAATAACTGTAGGGGCCGGCCCCGTGGCTGAGTGGTTAAGTTCCAGCGCTCTGCTTTGGCGGCCCAGGGTTTTGCAGGATCAGATCCTGGGCGCAGACATGGCACTGCTTGTCAGGCCACGTTGAGGTGGCGTCCCACATGCCGCAACTAGAAGGACCCACAACTAAAATACGCACAACTATGTACTGGTGGGCTTTGGGGGAGAAAAAGCAAAAAAAAAAAAGATTGGCAACAGTTGTTAGCTCAGGTGCCAATCTTTAAAAAAGAAAAAAATAACTTTATGTAAAGTATAAAGTTTTGGTCCTTTTTTTGCTGAGATTTATAATGAAAGTAGCCTTGCCTGTCACACATCACAAGACCAGGGTGTCTGTTTTTCACTTCCCAGCTTTGCATTCCGAGACCATTGAAGCGTGGCTGTCTCGTGGAGGGTAGTCTGGACTTCTCCCTGTAGCTGCTGAAGGGGCTGAGCCTCAATGCATTGTTGTTCCAACTGTTCTGTGATCCAAAATAATATTTTACAGTTTGTGTCTGTGTGTATTTCTCCATCGACCTATCTATCTGAAAGAAAATCTCCTTAACCTTTGGACTAAGTTCGCTTTGTTGATAGTCTGAACTAAGGTGTTTTCTTTCTTTCTTGATCTAGGCAGTTGACAAGTACTTCAAGCTTCCTCATGCTTCCAGTAAACCACCTCGGATCTCAGGAAGCCTTGTGGACACCTCTTACAAAACATTGAGATTTGCCTTTAGAGCGTCACTAAAAACTGCCATCTATCGAATAACTACTACATTTGGTGAACATCTCAAGTAAGTACCTGTTTTGATCCATTATAATAATTCACTTGCAGGAGTCCCCCTGAGAAATAGGTAGGAGAATTAGAAAGGCTCACATGTTGAAAGTCTTCTTTTGAGGACTTCATGATTCCTGTTGGAAATGAACGGCTTGGATTTAGACTTAATATTTATATTTTAAAATTTAGCCTATCAAATAAGGTTTGGGGCATTCTTTTAAGCGGACAAAAAAGAGGATAAAAAATTATAAAAGCAGCAAATGTAATTATATATATATTTTTTAATGACCAAAACATTAATGGAGAAAAAAGGCAAAAAACCAAGTACCTTGCCAGAAGAGCATATTAAAAATAATTATCTTATTACATCTTGGTCAGCAAACTAAGACTTAGGGTAGGCAGAGTATTCCATGAATGAGTCCTTGGTGCTTTGTGAATTATGCTGGAAAAACAATGACAGATCACGGCACCTTGAGAAATGAACCTGAAAGGAAATCACAAACGCCAAACCTGTTTGTATTTGGTTTCCTTGATGTCACTGCTTTCTTCTCATGAAGTCGTCTGGCTGGGCAGGATAAGGGATATTAGTTCATCAACTAGACTATGTTTATCATAATTATAAATGTACTTTAGAAGACATGAGCGCTTGCCCTGCCTTTTCTGTATACAGTCAATAAATAGTTTAGAACTTTCTCATACCACCTGCTTTTAAAGACAGGTGGTGTATTTCCTTTTACTTCGGTAACACTAGGCAGCAGCAGTAGCAATTTTTTAAAGGGCACACTTTGGTTCTGTGTGGGAATACAAAAGAGCTGTGGATAATCCTCTATCCTTAAGAGGTTTTATTTACTTGTTTAAAAACAAACAAAAATAACTATTTATTGAGTGCCTTTTTGATCTGCACTCTCCAGTAGGATAGCCATGCATGGCTATTTAAATTTAAATTAATTAAAGTTAAGTAAAATTAAAAATCCAGTTTGTCAGTCATGTTGGCCCTGTTTCAAGTCCTCAGTAACTGCATATGGCTAGTGGCCACAGGATTGGACAGCTTAGGTATAAAACATTTCCGTCGTTTCAGAGAGTTCTGTTGGACGGTGCTGTTCTAAACGATGCACTTAGCACGTTTTATGTTTTTTTCATTTACTCTTCTCAAAGAGCCTGTGAGGTGTAGAGGTTATCTTAATTGTACAGATATGGAAACTGAGGCTCAAAGAAGTTAAGAACTTGTCTAATAGCACAATCTAGTGAGTATTAGAACATGAGCCTGAAATCAGGTCTTTCTTGCTCTTAAAATTCCACCTTCTTTCCCTGTACAACACTAGATCGCCTCTAAATGTAAAGTGCCATAGACACTCTCAGAAAACACTTGATGAATGTAGAGAGTGAACTAGATATGATGTATATTGATGAGAGAGCAAAAATGGAGAGAAAGGGGAAAAGAAAGATTTCTTAGGTAAGAAAGGGAGGTAGATGACTGACAAAATATGAGAAGAGCCATGTTTTGTATATGCACTAAAACTGATGAGGTCAGTAGAGACTATTTTGTAAAAAAAATAGGATAGATTGGTCTGGTGGAAGAAATAGCAGATTTGGGGTTCAAACATTTAGATTTGTGTCTGGTTACATCACTGGACTTTCTGTGGTTGTGGGCAGGTTAGCTAATGATTGAGGTAACTTGCCCAAGACGATGCTCGTGCTAAGTTGCAGAACCAGAGGCCAGACTCCAGTCTCTCTGACCCTAGAGTTCTGCTGACAGTGTCTGTCCTCTGTTAACCAGCAGACTGCCGTCTCCCCTGACCTCTGGACCTTACTGATACTCTTTACCCGCCTGTGAGAAGGGGATGTTATCCATCCCACTTTGTTCCATTTGCTGTTAATAGATGTAAAATGGGGTCATACATATGTAAAGCCTGCCCTCTGTGCCTTTTATATTGTTGTGGCAACAACTATTATCACTGTATAATACCTAATTTATTCATTCCCCAAAGCTCTGCCTTTGAGAACCAGATGTAGATGAAGTAAACTCTTGAGGCGGGAAAATTAACACAGGCCAGTTACTCATTGGAGATACTTGTTTAGCACCTGTTTACTCTTAATTTAGGCAAATTTGGTTTACTGGTTTTCCAGCCTATAACATTAAACTCTGAGGGGAAGAGAGTACTGTTAGAGTGAGGAGTATGACGACAGTAAGGGATAGTTCACTGCCTGCTAGCAGAGGGAAGAGGCCTGAGAAGAGCTGCAGACCTGGTGTTTGAGAGTCCAGAGCCGGTTACTTAGCGACGACAGCCTCGCCGCACCTCGAGGGAATCTGCACGGGGAAAATGCTTGAAATGGTTCCGTTAGAGGCAGCTGCACGCTTTAAGAAAGCAGAGATGTGTATGTGTAAGATGTATAAGGCATTTTAGGATGATTTGCAGCAAAATTATCGTGATAAGACTCTTTTGGCACTTTTAAAAGTGGTGACCTTCAGTAACCTGGAATTTTATGACTCAGTAATGATATATTACTGTTCAACAACTAGAAAACCAGAATCTTTCATTGTGTTTAATTTTTGCACAAAAGTTTAAAAGGAAGTTGTACACTAGTTTCAGCCTGAGTTTTGTCAAGGTGATGTGTTTTTTTTGTAGGGGTTAGGGTGGGGAGAGAACTCAGTTTCCCCATCCAAGACATAACTTATGTTCAAAGGGAAAAGTAAATCTAAACCACCAAGCTGTTACCTTTGAAAACGATTAGTGGCGTCTATTATGTTTTAACCAAACATTTTAGTTTAAAGGATTTTATATTAAAGGCAATTCAAATACTCCACAACTCAAAGATAATGTTGGAATCTGGTTTAAATAAAGTAATAAAATCCAGAAAATCTACTGCAAGGCCTGGAACTCTGCACAGCAGGTTCCGTAGGAGAGCAGGTTAGAATCGATGCCTTCCCTTGTCAGTCTTAATTTGTTTTGGTCTTTAGAAGGTAGAAGCATGCCATTACTGGATGCAAGTCCTCCTCCTCATTAGATTAAGGAGGGTTTTCATCCAGCTTTTTCAGAAGTACTAAATAAGTGAAGATTTCTAATCATTTTTAATTGTTTTGAAAAATATTGACTCTCTGCTCTGTGGTTCACTTAATATGCTTAATGTAAAATAAAGCTTATGCTTTGAATTTATGTTTCATTTAGTGCTGTGCAAGCATCTGCAGAACATCAGAAAAGACTTCAACAGTTCTTGGAGTTCAAAGAATAGTTAAGTAATATAAACTGTGTTCATTACACTGCTGATACAACTACAGATGGGACGGTAAATGTTCAGCATTCTTGCATCAGAAGAAAATGGACTAATTAGATGCTTCCTTTGTCGTGGCGGTTGCTTTGAAAACTATACTTTAATGGGAGAAATCATGGGAAGAAATTCTCAACGGAATAACTAAAAACTGCCTTTTCTGTACCGATTGCTTTTTGTATGTGTGGTATAATAAAATCTTTATTCAATTTTACAGAAGCGTCTGTGGCAGTGGACGTGTCTCTAGCTTATATAGATTAATAAGAATAACTAGAGAATTTTTAGAATTTACTTTTGAGAGGAGTAGAGCCAGTTCAGAAGGTAAAACCGGGTTGACTTGATCCCGTCTTCCTTCCTAATCATTCTGAGAGGTTAGCTCTTTGGAAACTCGCAATACATAAACTTTTTAAGAGTAGTTTCTGTTGACTGAAGTATAAAAATGGTAACAGTGGAGAAAAATTCACAGAAAAAATATTGTCTAAAGCACATGTTTTGTTAATCTGTTAGGTTGTGCTTTTGTTTCCAGGGACAAATTAAATTTGCATGATTGTCCAAAAAAGGTCTCAATTTACAGAATGCCAACTCTATATAAAGGAATGTGGAAAAATTCAGTTCTTAAGTTACAAGATTAAACAAGCACATTTGGTTTTTGAAAGACGATTGACTGACGTCCATGAATTTATTTCGCATCATGCTAGTAAACAGTAAGTGTATGCGTATTTTCCCCACTAGTTTTGCTTTCTTTTTCTGGAACAAAACATTAAGTGATTTGCAGAGTTTTTCAAGTGAGAGAAAAGGTTTTGCAAGAAAAAACAGGAGACTTTCCCTTTTTCCCCACTCTGCATCTTCATTAGATCAGATTATTTTGCAAAGTTTGTTTTCACAGACTTTCACAGAGGAGCAGCTTTTTTTGTGTTAACTGGCTAATTAAAATATATTAGGAAAATCTTTAAGCCAGAGACAACTCAGTCATCCAATAGCTAGTGAAACCAGAACTTCAGGGGTCGCTGTGCTTGGTTGCGTTGTCTGTCCCACACTGAGCATGAGGATTTTCTAATTTATTGGATCAGCTTCTTTGCAGATGAAAAATGCTCAGTCCTGCTGGTGGATATTCACTGGACTAGCTTGGACTGAAATGCTCCCTTGGAGTTCTTTTCCTATTATCTTTTCCCTCTAGTGTCCTGAAATGTTTTCTTTAAAGTCAAGCACAGTGTTGTATATGAATCTTTAATGTGGTATATATGTCTGCCATTGTCTGATTGCTTATGTATTATGTCTTTATTCCCTTTATTTGTTGCCCCTTCAACCAGCACATGCCAAATTTTAAGTGAATCCTGCTGGCCTTTAAAGTGTCTTTATGAGACAGTTCCCCAGTTGTCAACTGTTTGGAGCATTTAGGCTGTTGCCATTGCTTTTCCGTGTATGTGTCTGAAGTGGAGTGGGTCTCTTTTTTGCATAAGAAAGTTGAATTTTGAATGTGGTTACTTACAGATGACCAGAAGATTGTGGCTGGGTTGGCTGAGAACTGTTGAGTTCCATGTTTTAAAGCCATTGAGCTTTTTGTATTCCATTCTCTGAGGGAAAAGGATTCTTAACCTTCTGCTTCCATTAAAGAAGAATTGTGGTATTTAACCCATTGGATTCCTGAGACTGATGATGGGATGACCCTTTAAACTTTGATTTACTTGGATACAATGTCTGGCTAGGTTTAAGTTTTTGCATTTCCCATATACTTGGGGCAAAGGTATGTTTGATGAGCAATGTGAAGATTTCTGAGGTGTTCGTCCCTATTTTCTCTCAAGAGAATGAACTGTGTACCAAATACAGGTCACATAATGTCTGCCTGGTAGAGATTTGGAAAATGCCTCCCCACATCTGGATTGTGTGTTTAGTAGATAAGGGAGTCAGTTCCTTTGCCCACTGTATGTTGCTAATCTACACAGCGTCTTTTGGGGTGTGGTATGGCTCAATCACCTGTTCTTACAGAGAGCTCCTTCTCCTGTGTCCAAGGAGGGGGTCTTAGGAATGCCGAGAGGAGAGAAGCCTTTCCTTTGATGAAGTCACATCCCGCCTATGAGCTCACCGATGCTGTAACATTGGCCTGAAGATTAGAGTGTTCTTTAAAAGCTTTTCTCTGTCAGGACAAAACATGATTCTGTCAGCTCTTGTAATCTTTGCTTGACCCTTATGGAGGGTGTAAACCACATAACTTCTTTCCTGGAGGACTAGGATTCGGTCCTAGAGTAAACCTTGTACAGTTGAGCGGACGTGGATGAGCAGCTGTTTCTTAGTTTGCTGGATTTGTTCCTCAGTAGTTGTTTTGTGTGTCTTTCTGTAAATATGGTAATCCATTTATATCCTTTTGTATATCACTGACACTGAATTGGGTAGAAAAATAAAATCGACAGTTTTTCAAAATGGGACTGTTAATTGAAATACGTGTATCTGTGAAGTCAATTATTTAATTTCTGATGTGTGTCTTTCCTTGGCCATTTCAATTCCATCTTAGAGTTGTTGTTTATAAAACACAAAAAGGTTTAACTTCTTGAGAAATAAGCTTTTGCCCCTAACTGGACTAATTTGGGGGTGATCTGTGTTTAGTGGTAACTCTGAGGAGCCTGAATTCTAAAAGTCTCTTTCTTCATTGTCTTGGCCGCCTTTCTTCCACAGCTAAACAAAGGATGCAGGTGCTGAGAGCCGCCTCCTAATAGAGATTTCTTTTCCTGCCAGAACAGTGCTTCTAAACGGATCCTGTGCCCCCAGGCTAAGAGTTATGGCTGTCAGCTTTACTTACTCAGAACTTCACCTCAAGGTAGCTGAGGTACTGTACCAAGGCCCCCAGCGCCCTCTTCTCTCCCAGTCTGCAGTCATCTTTCTTTAAAACAAAGGTGGCTTTCATTCATCACTTAACAATCCAGGTATTCTTAGCAAGCTACTGACCACCATTTTTAAATAAGCAAAATCATTATTTTGAGGGGTAGGAAGTGGGCTAGATAAGCACATACCCCCTTAGTTGTCCGTCATGGTCCTAAGCAGCCCTGGCAGTTGCTGTAGTGCTGTGCAGATTCATGCAGAGCCAGCTAATCACTCAGAGTATGCGCTGAGTGCCTGTTGTGGCCTGGCTATTAGAAACAAATTTAACTGTGAACGAGACAGTCCTGGCCCTTCGAGGAGTTTATAATCCAGGCAGTGGCACTGAAACTTGGGATGAGAAACCTCAGACTCACAGGGAGTGCTTGTTAGAGTGCAGAGTCTGCTTCAGAGGTCTGGACTGGTTCCCAAGAGCCGGCGTTTGTAACACATCCTAAGCAGTGGTCAGAGAATCACACTGCGAGAAGGGTTTATTTTAGATCAGGAGTTACCAAACTTAGCATGCATCAGAGTCACTTGGAAAGCTTCTTTAAACAGATTACTGGACCCCACCTCCAGACTTTCTGATTCACTAAGTCTGGGGTGGGGCCCAAGAATTTGTGTTTCTAACGAGTATCCAGATGCTGCTGATGCTGCTGGTCAGGAGGGGCACACTTTGAGAACCACTGCCCTAGTGGATTTTCTTGTATGTGTTCTCTCAGATGAGCGTCTGAAGCATATGAACTATCATTTCATATAAGGTGGAGTTTTTCCATCTGATTCATTTATTGGAAAGCTTGAAGAAAACGGCTCGATCCCGTAGGTAACGCAGGAATGCTGAGAAGTCCTCGGGTGTTCATCTGCTTGTCTTGAAGTTGCCGCTGTGATGTGAGCGGAGTAGCTCTTTCATGCCATCGTCTGCTCATGCTCCTGTTATTTCCTTTGTCTGAATTGCTGTCTTGGCAAACTTCCCTTTCTTCACGATGAGCTTCGCCTTCCCACGTACTCCCAGATAGATTTCCTTGTGTTTTTTCAATACTTTGTCATTCCTTTTTTTTGGACCATATCATATTGAATTGTAATTTCACTGATTACAAATCTGCTTCCCTTTGTAGATTATGAGCTCCGTCCTCTTCCAGGATTCCAGTTAGACGCTTTCTCGGTGTTTCATCTGGGTCTTAACCTGTCTCCCATACTGTAATATTTTTGACTTTCCCTGCTTTATTGTGGGTAGTTTCTTCTGACCTGTCTTACAAGTCATTTTCTTCAGCTGTGTCACATCAGCAGGTAAACTGAACCACGGACTCCACGTGGACTGAGCTGCACTCACAGGAGTTTCCCAATAGAGTGAACATTGGTAGTCCTTTCTAGGTACTTGAGTTTACATCCTTAGCAGAACTTTATTTATAATTCTGAAATCCAGAGGGTTTTTTTAGTTGGTAAGTTTGCTGACAAAATTTGGCAACTAAGCCCGACCTTAACTGATGTGAGGCCGTTTGTAAACTTAATTTATTCCATGTCGTATGACTGTACTTAGACTTACCGTGGAATATTTGGTTATGAGGCGCTGTCCCAGACCCCATGGGAGTATTATGTAACACGCATCAGTATTACCGTTCTAAAATCTGAAAACTCCTTTATTCTGAAACATCTAGCCTTGGGTTTAAGAAAAGGTGTTGCAGACTGTTTTTGTAAAATGCTGTTAGTTCTTCCAGTCACTCGTTCAGCCCGCTGTATACCAGGCCTGCGCTAGGCACTGATGGTACAGACCCACAGACCTTGCCCTCAGAGAGCTCACTGCCGTGTGTGGGAGAAGCAATGGAGGCAATCCTTGTTTACAAAGACACTTTTTCTACTTATTTACAAAATTGCTGTGTGTCTTGCTGTTGCTGCCTCAGTGCTCGTTGGTTGCGCAGCTGTTCTATTCCTAGCCTGCACGAAATGCAGCCTCTCCTTAGGTCCCGGTGTTTGCCTCTTTGTCACTGGCATTATTTTGCAGAAGTTGTGTAGCTCTGCTTGCCCCCAAGTGCTCCTCTTCTCCCTGCGCACACATCTTACCTTGAGTGTGCCTTCTAAGTGATCCAGGTGGTAAGGTATTTCTGGAAGATCTGTGGGATGTCTCTGGCAGAGAAACATTGGAAGGTGACCTCTACATCACAGGTCTTTACCTTGACAGTCTTTTGAACATACGTTTACTCTTGATTGGTTTATTCTTTTTATCTCTCAACTTAGTAACAGTGGTCTACAGTCTTGAAAAAATATTAAACACTAGTCCCTCCCTAACTGCATCATGAGCCTTAGTTGCAGGGACACAGTCCCCACCTCAGCCTAGCTTAAGCATAAAAAGGAGAGTTGATCCTAAGGGCACAGAAAAGTCTGGGTGAGCCCAAGGATAGATTTCCTTCTGGGCCATGTGAAGAACCTGGAAAGCTCTCAGGATCTCTAAAGGGTTCTTCTCTGCTTCTTTGTGCATCAGTGCTCTATTCTGTCTCCCTGCCTACTGGCCTTCTACCACTCTCTCCATCTGCCCTCTAGCTCCTGAGTTTACGTGTAATAGAGGCTGACCCGCTATTTCTGAATGTCAACCAAATTCCTGATTGAAAGAAATTAGCCTAAATGGATCGAGTGTTCGAAGGTCTCATTAGGCTCCAGGGACCAGGTCATGCAGTACCAACATGCTTCTGAGAACTTAGCTTTGTTGATTGGGATAGAGTGGGGTGAAGGGAGCTCCCAGAGCCGCCCAAGATAGGGACAAGATTCGGGGTTCATGGCCTGCAAAGAGGGGCTTATAATCCCCTTTGCTTTGGGGTGGAACCCCAAAGGGCAGCGTCCTAGAAGGAAGGGTGAAGAGGAAGTAGAGTGCGCGAACTGTAGTTGAGTTAGAACCCTCATTAAACTGAATTGCGGTAGTCTCTGTTTGCCAGTGTTTCTGGGTCCTGGAAGAGGCTATCATAAATCCTCTCTGGAGGAAAACAACACCCTGGGCCTCAATTATTTCTACAAATAAGTTTTTAAATACAGTGTCTGCACACAATTAAAAGTAACCAGGGGGCTGGCCCCGTGGCCGAGTGGTTAAGTTCGCGCGCTCCGCTGCAGGCGGCCCAGTGTTTCGTTGGTTCGAATCCTGGGCGCGGACATGGCACTGCTCATCAGACCACGCTGAGGCAGCGTCCCACATGCCACAACTAGAAGGATCCACAACGAAGAATATGCAACTATGTACTGGGGGGCTTTGGGGAGAAAAAGGAAAAAAAAAATAATAATAAAATAAAATCTTTAAAAAAAAAAAAAAAGTAACCAGGCACAGGAAGAGACAAGACAGCATGAATGAAAACAACCAAAGCAAAAGACAATACAATAGACCCATAGGGGCTCTCAATAATAGTTATTAGAGATTTTAAAATAATTATGATTACTATGTTCAATAAGATTAAAAAATGAAATTCTAATTCATTAGAGAACTAGAAACTACATATATATGTAGTAGAAACTACACCCACAGAGAAATTCTAGGACAGAAAAATAGACTGACTAAAATGAGCAGTCAATGGATAGGTTTACCTGCAGATTAAACATAGCTAAAAAGTGACTTGGAAAATAGGTCAGAAGAAATTATCCAGAATAAAGCATGGAAAGTCAAAAATACTGAAATAGAGAAGACGGATTAAGGCACAGATACTATAATGAGAAAGTTTCTAAGTGAATTGGAATCCTGGAAGGAGCTGGAGATCGAATGGAGCAGAAGCAGTTTGAAAAATGTGATAGCAAAGAACTTTCTAAAATTGATGAGACATCAAGCCACAGATTGAAAAGGCTCTATGAAGCCTAAACAGATAAATAAAAAGAATACACACTGAGGTACCTTCATATTAAAAGGGCTAAAACCAAAGACAAAGTCTTAAAAGTAGCCAGAGGAGAAAAAAGACCACCTTCAAATGAGCAGCAATAAGACGGCTAACTTCTCAACAAAAGCACTTGAAGACAATGGATTGGAAATTTTAAAGTGCTGAAAGAAATTCACTAACTTAGAATTCCATACCCAACATTAATCTCCAAACATGGTGGGGAAATAATAACATTTTCAGACAAACAAAAGCTGAGAAATTTCATCAACAGATCATAGTAAGAGGAACTTAATTTATAAAGGTAGTTTTTTCAGGAAGAAGAAGGAAGGATAGAAGCAGGAAGAAATTAAGAACAACAAAAAAGGTAAATATGAATACTGATTTACGAAACAATGTCTGATGGGATTTTTTTTTTTTTTTTTAAGATTGGTGCCTGCGCTAATACCTGTTGCCAATCTTCTTTTTCTTTTCTTCTTCTCCCCAAAGTACCCCCGGTACATAGTTGGATATTCTAGTTGTGAGTGTCTCTGGCACGTCTAGGGACTGGTTGTGCTGTGTGGGACGCCCCCTCAACATGACCTAATGAGCGGTGCCATGTCCGTGCCCAGGATCCGAATCGGCAAAACCCTGGGCCGCCAAAGTGGAGCGTGCAAACTTAACCACTCGGCCACGGGGCCGGCCTCTCTGATGGGATTTTAAATATGTAGAGAATTGGAGTACCCACACAAAGGCATATAAGTCAGTATTTGGGAGTTGAAATATCCTATGGTCTTTACATTGTCTGGGAAGAGAGTAAAAGTATCAACAGTAGACTTTACTAAATTAAAGATGTGCATTGTCTCTTAAGGATAATCATAAAAGAGTAGTAAAAGTTTTAAACTAAGACAGGGAAAAAATGGAATAAAAAATAATCTAAAAGAAAGGAGGGGAAAAGAAATCTGGAATAGGCAGGACAAAGAAAATGCACATAGTTAGATGTAGGTTTAAACTCAGGTATATCAGTAATTACAGTAAATGTACGTGGACTAAATGTTCCGATCAAAAAGCAAAGATCCCATCAAACTAAATAAAAAACAAAATCCAACTGTTTGCTGTGAACAAGAGCAACATCTAAAACACAGGATAGATGTGTTGATAAGGAAAAGAGAGGAAAGAAATGTGCAAACACGAAAAGAAAGCAGGTATAGTTGTATTAATTTTTGACACAATATACTTTAAGGCAAAAAGCCCTTACCAGAGAGAAAGGGGGGCACTTCCAAATAACAAAAGATTCCATTTGTGAGAAAGATACAGTTCTAAATATTAACGCACCTAATAACATAGCCTCCAACTACATTAAAACAATGTGGGCAAAGATGAACGGGTACTTCAAAAGGGGGGTCTTCAGATGGTTTATAAGAGAAGATAGGTATTCAGTACCTTTAGTTGAGGGAAATACGCTGAGATACCACCACACACCGATCAGAAGGACTGAAAAGAAAAAGACTGCCAATGACAGGTGTTGAGGATGTGGAGCAACTAAAACTCATAATTGCTGGAAGGAGTGAACAAATGGACAAAGCCACTAAAGATAGTGTCTACTATAGAACCTATCGATTCACTAATTGTATGTGCTCAGAAAAGTGAGTGCATGTGCCCACCAAAAGTCATGTTTGCAGGATGCTTACAGCAGGATTTTTGACGATGGCCCTAAGTTGGAGACATTTCAAGTGTCCATCAGTAGTAGAATGGATAAATGAATTGTGCTATACTTTTAGAATGTAATTTTGCATAGCAGTCAAAAGAATGAACTACTACTACGTGTAACAACTTGAATGAAGCTCAGACATAATATTAAGCAGAAGAAGCCAGACACAAAGGAATACATACTGCATGATTGCATTATATGCATTTCAAAAACAGGTAAAAATGTTAGCACTCTCAGTCAGAATAGAGGTAATGGAAAGAGGGGCAGCATATTGACTTGGAAGAGCATGAGGACACTTGAGGTGCTAGAAATGTTCTGTATCTTGATTTGAATTATGTGGGTGCATACATATAAAAATTCGTTGAATGGTATATGTAAGATTTATATACTTTATGTATGTTATATGTTAATAAAAAATACTTAAAAACTGACACAACCACTTACAAGGAGAAAGAGACAAATCCACAATTATAACAAGACATTTTACACACCTCTCAGTGACTGATAGAACAGGTAGATTTTAGAAATCAGTAAGGATGTAGAATAGTTGAATGACATAATCAGCAAACTTGACCTAAATGGACACACATGGAACACTGCACCTAACAACTGGAGAACATGCGTTCTCTTCAAGCTCACGGTGAACATTTGCAAATCTCACATGTTGGTCCATAAAGCAAGTCTCAACAAATTTCAAAGGATTAAAATCATTTAGAATATATTTGGCTGTTAAGCCATTAGGGTAGAGATCAATTAAAAATTATAATTAGGACATTTCGTATGTTTGGAAATTAAAAAATACACTTTAAAATCACCCACAGGTCAAAGAAGAAATCACATAGGTGGAAATTAGAAAAATATTTTTAAAGGAGTGATAATAAAAATACACAGTGAAATTTGTTAGATATAGCTAATGTCATGCCTAGAGGGAAATTTATACCCTTAAATGCATATATTATAATGAAAAGAAGAAAGGCTGAACATCACTGAGCTGAGGATCATCTCAAAAAGCTAGAAAGTGAATTTAGTGTAGTCTTTACCACTTCTATATCTTTTCAGTGCACGTGTAATGAATTACCAGTTTACTTGCTCTTACTGGAAACCGTGATCTATGAGTTCTTGGGTTCAGAGATCATTTCTTATTCTTTGTATCCCCAGTGCCTATTAAAGTAGGTTGCATGGGGCAGGCCTGGTGGTGCAGTGGTTAAGTGTGCACGTTCTGCTTCGGTGGCCTGGGGTTCCCTGGTTCGGATCCCGGGTGCAGACATGGCACTGCTTGGCAAACCATGCTGTGGTAGGCGTCCCACATAGAAAGTAGAGGAAGATGGGCACAGATGTTAGCTCAGGGCCAGTCTTCCTCAGCAAAAAGAGGAGGATTGGCAGTAGTTAGCTCAGGGCTAATCTTCCTCAAAAAAAAAAACCAAAAAGTAGGTTTCACACTATTGGTATTTGTTTGAACTGAATTCAGTTTATCATCAGTGCCTTAGGGTTTTTAGAAACTCAGGGTCTCAGACTTAGTGTTACAAAAGCCAGGCAGGTGATGTGATGTGTGAGGCCAGCAACATGGGAACACAGCAAACTGGCGAGCACACACCCCAACTAAAGGGATGGCTGCTGCTGCTGTGTGGCCCTCTGCTGATGGTGCTGTGGGAGAATGCTTGCCTGGCATGTCTAGATCTCCCCATTTGCTTATAAGAAGGCAGAAATTCAGATTTTGATGTGAAATTTCCATTTTTAAAGTGTTGGAAACTAATTAATTAAAAGCAAAATACAGTGAGTGCCAAAGCAAACTACACCACCCTATGGCTGCTAGTTTGTAACCTCTGTTTTATTTCACACCTTAAGAGGTGGGAATGTGTTTTGTGTCTAAATAGCCAGCCAATAGACTCGAGCAGCCTCTTCCCTCGAGCATATTTCTGCCTGAAGAAAAGAGCTGTGAGTGCTCCCTGACAGGATTTCTGGGTCATATCTGTAAGAGGTTTGCAGGGCTGTGTAAAGCCTTCTTTCTAGCTGGCTGTTTACCCCAGCTGAATCAGACATGTGTTCCCAAAGATTTTTTTCCTCCTTTTGTTGTAATATTCTTAATGATGCATCCTGACTTTTTCACTCTGTTTTCCACACATTTGTCACCACTTCTGCTTTTGGATCTTCATGCTGGAAAATCTGAGGCTTACATGGAAGATTGATTTTTAATGCCCCTTGCGTTGTTTTTCAGCTGTAACATTTGCATGCAATTATGACATTTTAAAAATAGGACACCATGGGGTTTGAAAAAAAGAATCTTCTGGGCGGATGAGCAAATGGAAAGGCCAGCCTTTAGTTTTGTTAACATCCCAATTACATCGTGGTAACCCTTGTGACGATTTCTGTCTCTTGTAATGCAACACCTGATTTTTGTTCCAGGCACAGGGACCAAGCCTGGCTGACTCAGCCCTTGCTCAATCGTGCGAGTTGGTTGGAAAGCGCTTGCGTCCCACTGGCCAGCAGAGGTCACTGTTTCAAAGTTGTTGGGAGAAAAATTGTCTACAGTCCACACCACTTCTCTTTTGTTTGGGGAGGTTGAATAAAATAATCCTGGTGGGAGACTTTTTTTTTTATTAATGTTATGATAGATTACAACCTTGTGAGATTTCAGTTGTACATTTTTGTTAGTCATGTTGTGGGTACACCTCTTCCCCCTCTGTGCCCTCCCCCCACCCCCCCTTTTCCCCGATAACCACCGATCAGGTGGGAGACTTTTTATTCACACTTTTCTGTATTTTCCAAATGTTCTTTAAAAAATCAAAATTTTAATTTATTACATTTAAGGGTGCTGAAGGCTTGAGTGGGCGTCTGTTGAGAGTTGCCCATGGAGGGCTAACAGCTACCGTTACAGGCACGTCTAGGGACTGGGCTCTGTGCTCCCCACTCCACCATCATCCTTCACGGCCGGCCGTCTTCCAGGGCTGTTGTGAAGTTTCCCTTAGTTTTCTGGACGAGGAGCCTGGGCGAGCAGAAGTGAGATGATTTGCCTACGGACACGCAACTAGTGGAGAAGGGGTTCAGATGCAGGGCCATCTGTCCTCAAAGCCAGACTCCTGATTTTCTCGGGAGCTGTACTTTTTTCCCAAAGAAGAAATATTTTAGCAACTTGAAGCAACAGTCACCAAGAATGCGTGAGAGGAGTATGTAGTTTTGAAGCAAAACCTTACTTTTCTTTCTTCGCAAATCTCAGCCTATTTTCTGGAAGAAGCTAGACTTTACTTCTTGGTCTTTGAAAATGGGAACTGTGATGTTCTGTCAGGCTTTGCTCCTTCTCCACAGGCAAACAAATATTAGTGATACATTATCTCCAGAAATATCTCAAGCTTAAGACCTAGTTAGTAACGTTTACTAAAAAGATTTCTTACTTCGATTTACAAGTCCAACAGAAAACTTTGACAAGAAATAGACTGTGAATGAAAAGATAAATCTGTTTTAGTGGGTTTTTATTTATTCACGTTTTAATCATGAATAAATCACCAGGATTTTCCATAAAGCTGGAGAGTTACGAGAGGACAGCTGTGTTCATCTCCGGCTAGTGCCTGGTCAGTCTGACCCCTGTTCTCACTGAGGACGTCATGTGAGAACTGGAAGAGAAGGCCTGGTGTCTTCTGGGCTGCTGTAAAAGGACATTTGGTTCTGGAGTCAGTCCCACACATTGGCCTGTGCTGCGCATCATTCTTTCAAATTTTGAAATGTTTTGTAGTTGCAATTAACTATAATTATTATTATTAGAACAGAAAACTATATTACTTTACATTATTTTAGGTCATCTTAATTAACTAATAAGATGGAGCTGGCTTATTTTTGTTGTCAACAAATATTCAACAAGTCTTCCCAGGGGGAGCAAGTAGCTCAGAGTAGCAAAACCATGGCTCTGGTTGGGGGAGAGCAACAATGAATATAAGCAAACGTCCCGGGGTGGTGAGTATTCTGAAGAACGAGTGGACAGAAGGTAGTGGGGTGGGACTCTAGATAGGGCGGTCAGGCCCCCCGATGAAGTGATGTTTGGCCAGAGGCCTGAAGGAGGTAAGAGAGAATATGTGGATTCTTGGGGGAAGAGTTCCAGAAAGCAGAAGGACCCCGAGACCGGAGCATGCCTGGTAAGTTCAAGGGTAGCAAGGAGGGCAGAGGGGCTGGGCATGGCTGGGAAGGGGAGGGTGGGTGAGGGCAGAGACGCAGCGGGACCGGATCTGGTAGGCGATGGTAAGGACTTTGCTCTAACTCTGAGTCAGGGCAGCCGTTGGAAATTTCTGAATAACGGCCTACTTATGTTTTAAAAAATTAAATCTGGCTGTTCTGTGGAAAACAAACTGGGGAGAGGGGTGGCAGGTAAGAATGAAAGCAGAGGAAGCACTTAGGCTACTGCTGTAAGCAGGTGACCGGACCCGGAGTGATGGGAGTGATGGCAGCGAAGGCGATGAGGAGCAGGCAAGGCGGAGGCTGTGCTGAAGATGGAGGTGACAAGAATTGCCGGTGGAATGGTTGGGGGGTGTGAAAGAAAACAAGTCGTTAATATTGACTTGGGGGTTTTGGCCCGAGCACTTGGTAGAATGAAATTGCCATTTACTGAGCTGGAAGAGGGATGGGTTTATAAGGGGGCAAGTGAGATGGGTTAATTAAGTCTGGCTGCATATAACTGAAAAACTCAAAATAATGGTGGCTTAAGTAACACAGAATTTTTTTTTTTTTCCACGTAAAAGAAGATCCAAAATAGGCTGTCTCAGGGTGACTTCCTGAGGATATCAGGGATTCAGGCTTATTCTAGCTCTCTGCTTAACTAGCCCCAAGATGTCTTCATCCTCATGGTCCCACGTGGCTGCTAGAACTACAGCCATCATATCTGCATTCCAGGCAACAAGAAGGAAGAAGAGAAGGGAGAATGGTGTACCCTTTCCCTTTTACGGAGACTCCCTTAGAGTCTACACAATTACCTTTGCATCTCATTGGCTGAAGTGTAGTCACATGGGCACATCTGGCTGCAAGGAAGTCTGGGAAATGTACTTTAGAGGTTACACGTAACCCCTAAATAAAATGGGCGTTTTTTTACTGGGGCTCTGAATGAATGTTAAGGTAGGCGACCTGCAGTCTGTTCTCCACACTCTGGAGTTTGATTTTGGAAGAAATGAGTTCACACTTACCTCTGGCACTCTCTATCCATGTGACTTTGAGCTAAGATTCCATCACTAAACTGTTTCAACTGCAAAACAAAAGAATTGGTTTTTAAGTTCCCTTCTAACTGTAACATTGCATGGATTTTGAGTTTGTCCTATAGTAAGGTAAGTGTAGTGTTCATAAAAGGGGTAAGTCTGAAGAAAAGACTAACAAGAAGATGTCTATCAAATGTCTTTCAAATTGATTTTTCTAATTGATTCATTTGAAACTTATTCATGAATACAGTTCCTTCTCTTTTTCAGAATGCTTTCTGCATATAGGTATAGATGATTTCAGTATATGCTTGAAAAAAAGCTTATGAATTACATAATACTAGTGTGTACTGGATGAATTTGTTATTTTACAATAAAAATTTTTAATAAAAATGTATAATGAATTATCCCATTTCTTGCTCCATATATACATTTGTTGTAGCCTCTCATCAATTTTTTGACCTGTTCAATCAGTGTAGTACATGTGTTCGAATCCACACGCTTCTGCTTATCTCCCACACACACGGGAAGTCTGTGCGTTCAACGGGCCTGCAGTTTACTATTGGGAATACAACAGGACACAGATGCGTACATATTAAGGCAGAAAGGCAGCGCTCTGCGAGGGGCCGTGTGTGGTGAAGGGGCCATTTGCGGTGAGCCCTGGAGATCTGGATGGGTCCTGGGGAGAGTCATCAGCCATGACGGTATTCTAGATGAAAGGAAAGGAACCATCAGGCAACAGAGAATGTTCCAGTCCAGTTGGAGATGAGACATGGTGACACGATGGAAGATCATGATGCTTAGGGTCAAGCAGACCCAGGGCTGAGCCTGAATCGGCCCCTTGCTAGCTGAGACCTGGGGCAAATCGCTTAACTTATTTGGGCTTCCTTTTCCTCATCTGTAGTGGGAGACAGTACCACCTCCTTCATAGGGTTGTTGTCTGTACTGAACGTATATGTGTAGTGTCGTCTGCAGTAACTTATGTAGAAGAACCTGCCACAGGGCATGGTGTTCTGTGCTGCTGAAAATCACAGGTCCTTCTCCTATATGGATAACTGATACTGTGCCTCAGATCTTTTCAAGCTGTCAAGTCTTACTGTCCTCATTAGCAGCATTTGATGTGCATTTTATATTAAGTCCGATTCTGTTTCTCTACAAATACAGAGCCATGCTGAAAACCAACTAAAGTTTCTATGGAAAAGCAGCTGCATAGCAATGAGAGTGAGGAAAGGGTATAACTTAGTGGCCTGGTAATTGTGGCATCTTTGCTTCCAGAAACCAGTATTAAGGATGAAGGATGCCTCGGGCCACCCAGGGGAAGTTCCAAACTCTAAAACTGCTGTTCTTCCAAACACCCGGCCACTCCGTTCCGTTCCCTCCCATCCCCCAAGCTTGTCAAGTGTACTTCCTAAGTAAAGCTGCATTCCAGCCCCTTCTCCTCGTCTCCACCAACCCCTGGCTCCTTGGCATCTCTTTTCCGGACTTCTGACTATTCCTACAGCGTCCACTCTGGCCTTTTCTCAATCTATTTTCCTCACAACAGCTAGAAGGATATTTTCAGAACAGATCTGATCATGCCAGTCTCCAGCCTGAAATCCTTCACTGACTGGATCCAGGCCTTTTCCTTCCCCCATCTCATGTGGTGCCCTGGCTCCTCGCTCCGCTGCTCCAGACACATGCCCTTCTTTGCCAGCTGGAAGGGGTCTTAGTTCCTCTAGTCTCAAGACTTTCGCATGTTCTTCTCCATCTGGCTTGGACAGCTCTTCCTCAGCTCTGCAACCAGTAACGTATTCTCTTAGATTCTGGTGTAGTCATCACCTCCTCAGGGAAGCCTTCCTCGACCCTTTAGACTCTCGTAAGCCTCCGACCCCCTCCCCACTCCATGTCTTCTCACAGCGTGGATATTCCTCCTTCAGGGCCTTGTCACTGTTGGTGAGTATGCACACATTTGTACGATGAGGTGAATATCCTGTGTCTGCCACCAGTCGGAGGCTCCAGGAGTCCCTGACACCTAGTACAGCACCCGGCGCGTGGTAGGTGCTCAGTATTGTTGGATGAGGATGGAGGGTGCTCCAGGATACGAATCTTGGTGCTTCCTCCCTGCACTCTTAGCCATTCTCTTCTGACCTCTCTGAGTTTCTAGAGGGCCTGCACGTCCTTCAGTAACTCCATCATCCAGTTTATGAACTTAGGCATTTATTCAACCATCCTTCACTGAGTGAATAGGCACCAGGCACTGTGCTCGGTGCTAGGACTACAGTGACAAATAAAACAATTCCTGGCCCCAAAGAGCCAGGGGCACTGAGAAGGCTTTAAGCTGGGGGAGCAACATGGTTGGCTCAGTGATTTAGGAAGACCATTCTGGCTGCCGGGAGTAGGATGGATTGGAGGGGCCGGGCTGGAGGCAGGGACACCCAGCCCGGAAGCTGGTCCAGTGATTCAGGCTAGAAATGCTGAGGCCTGACGACAGCCACAACTGTGGAGATAGAGAGAAGGGGCAGTTACAGAAGGTACGTAGGAGGCAGGAATCACAGGCCTTAGTTTCTGAATATGGGTGGAGGGAGAGAAAGGAGCCCAGGATGACTCCTAGGATCCCAGCCTGGTGGTATCAGCATTGTGTAAGAGAAAACACAGGATGAGGAGGGGAGAAAGAAGAAGCAGAGGGAGAGGAAATTCCTTTCGTAGAATTTGGCTTCTCAAGCCATCTAACAGTTTGTATTTCTAGAGAGTGTCTCATTAACCTGGAGCTTCATTCAGAAGAGACTCAACTTTTAGGAATAATCACATTGACTCTTGTTTGTTTTCAATTTGCATACAGTACAATTCACAGAGTACAGGTCTCTAAGTTTTGACAAGTGTGTAGAGTCATGTACACTCCACACCGTCAGGATACAGAACAGTTGTGCCACCGCCCCTCCTCCCGCAAATTCCCTCCTTCCTTCCTAGTCGTATCTGTCCCAGTCCTTAACTTCTGGAACCGCTGATCTTTACAGCTTCGCCTTTCCCAGAATGCCACATGATGGAATCACGCAGGACGTAGACTTCTGAGACTGGCTGCTTTTACTGAGCACAGGGCACGTGAGATTCATCCATGTTGTTATGTATATCAATAGTTTATTCCATATTATTACTGAGTAGCATTCCATTCTGTGGATTTACCACACTTTACTCTTTCTGCAGTTGAGGGACATTTGGTTTCCCATTTTTGAGGATTACAAATGAAGCTGCCAAAAATCTTCATGTACAAGTTTTTGTGTAAATGTAGGATAAATATTGGGAGTGGGATTGCTGGCTCGTATGGGTTGTATGGTAAGTATTATGTTTAACTTTATAAGAAATTATCAAACTGATTTCCAAAGTGGTTTTGCCTTTTTGCAGTTCCACCAGCAATGTCTGAGCGTCCCGGTTGCTCCACATCCTTCTCAGTATTTAATATTGTCAGTTTTTTATTTTATTTTTAATTTTGACCATTCTAATAGGTGTGTAGTGGTCTCTCATTATGCTTATAATTTGCATTCCCTGATGCTGAGCATATTTTCGTGCACTTAGTCTACATCTGCATATTTTCTTTGGTGAAGTATCTGTTCAAATCTTTTGCCCATTTAGAAATTTGGTTGTTCTCTTTTTATTAAATTGTAAGAGCTTTTTATACATTTTGAATACAAGTCATTTTTGGATATATGATATTGTATCATATATATTATACATACATATATATGTATATCATATATCAAATATAATATATATGTATTATAATACTTATAGGACATAAATATTATATTGTTGGATATATGATTTGTAAATATTTATTCTCCCAGTCTGTGGCTTGTCTTTTCATTCTTTTAACAGTCAATATCTTTTGCAGAGCAAGAATTTTTAATTTTTGATGAAGTCCCATTTAATATTTTTTTAATTTTATGGATTGTGCTTTTGGCATCATATCTATTCACTTTTTACCTAACCCTAGATCACAAAGATTTTTTCTATGTTTTCTTCGAGAAATTGTAGCTTTGCCTTTTGATGCATTTTGAGTTAATTTTTGCAGAGTGTGAAGGATAGGTCGAGGTCCATGGTTTTGCATATGTGTGTGCATCTGTTCCAGCACTGTTTGTTAAAAGACTGCCCTTTCTCCACTGAATTACTTTTGTAGCTTTGACAAAAGCATGTGGCCGTATGTGGGTTCCCTAGAACATGGAATATTCTGTTCCACTGATCTCTGTGTATATCCTTTGGCAAGACCACACTGTGTTGATTACAGGAGCTTGACAGTGAGTTTTAGAATCAAGCCTGAGTCCTCCACTTTTGTTCTTCTTTTCCAAAGTTGTTCTGGCTATTCCAGTTCCTCTCCCTGTCCAAAGAAATTTTAGAATCAGCTTGTTGATTTCTAGTAGAAAATCCTGCTGGGATTTTGATGGAAGTTATGTTGAATCTCCCTTTAGATTAATATGGGGAGAACTGACATCTTAACAATATTCAGTCTTCCAAACCATGAACGCAATATGCTTCTTCATTTATTTGCATCTTCTTTGATTTCTTTCATCAGAGTTGTGTGGTTTTAAGCATACAGATTCTGCACATATTTTGTTAGCTTAATATCTAACTGTATCATTTTCCACTGCTATTGTAAACGGTATTTTAAAAACTTTGTTTCTATTTGTTTATTGCTAGTACATAAATACAGTGGATTTTTGTATATTAACCTTACATCCTGCAACCTAGATAAACTCATTTATTAGTTCTAGGAGCTTTTTTTGGGGGGGGGAGGGGGTAGGTTCCATGGGATTTTCCACACAGATGATCTTGTTGCCTGCCAATGGAAGTTTTTACTTCTTTCTTTCCAACCTGTGTGCCTTTTTTTTCGTGCCTACTGCACGTGCTAGGACTTCCAGTGTGACGCTGAACAGGAATAGTGAAAGCAGACATCCCTACCTTGTCCTCGATCTTAGGGGAAGCAGTCTCTCCCACCAAGCGCAGTTAAACAAGTGATGTTAGCTGTAGGGTTAGTTTTGTTTTTGTCTTTGTAGATGCCCTTATCTAGTTAACAAAGTTTCTTTCTATTCCTAGTTTAAGTCGGTTCTTATTCTGTAGTCGCATATGAATTTTTATCTAAAACATCCTCTTTGGCCCTTTGTGACTGTGCTCTATACTGGGATTCTTCAGGTTTTTTCATTTTGTTTTGTTTTTAAAAGAGCATCTTCAACTTATAAGATGAATTCTAGATGGTAGGAAAACTAAGTTGGGTATTTCGTTAATCATCATCATCACGTCTCATTTTCTGGTTGATTTTATATTTTTCCACCCTCTCATTGAGTCTCCACGGGAGCCCTGGTGGGTCAGGTACTACCGTCTTTGTTTGGCAGGTGTATATCGAGGAACCAGGGATGGTGACTTGCTCATGTCCCTCAGCCTGACAGCACCAGAGCCACGACCATTATGGAAGCCATTTTGTGGACTGCCCCCAGTGAAAGCCCTGAAATGCAGTGAAGGAAGCCCAGGCTTTGGACTCAGGCAGATAATCTTTTTAATTTTAATTAAATTAAAGAAATTTTTATTGCCGTGAAATTCACATAACATAAAGTTCACCACTTAAAAGTGAACAAATCAGTGGCATTTAGTACATTCACAATGTTATGCAACCACCACCCCTGTCCAGTTCCAAAAAATTTTCATTATCTCAAAAGGAAAACTATACCCACTAAGCGGATACTCCCCATTGGTCCTTCCCCCACCTCTGTCAACCACCAATCTGCTTTCTGTGTCTGTAGACTTCCCTATTTTGGGTATTTCCTATAAGTGGAACCATACAATATGCGACCTTTTTATCTAGCTTCTTTCACTTAGCATAATATTTTTGAGGTCCATCCATGTTGTAGCATGTATCAGTACTTCATCCCTTTTTTATGGCTGAATAATATTCCATTGTATGAATATATACCACAATTTGTTTATCTATTCATCCACTGATGAACATTTGGATTGTTTCCACAACAATGCTCTTTTGCGTATATACCTGGGAGTGGAATTGCTGCGTCATACGGCAATTCTATGTTTAACTTTTTGAGGAACCGTCAAACTGTTTTCCACAATGGCTGATTTCCCACCAGCACTGTTTGAGGGTTCCAATTTCTCCACATTCTTGCTAACATTTGTTATTTTCTGTGGTTTTCTTTAAACTGATAGCCATCTTAATGGGTGTGAAGTGGTATCTCGTGGTTTTGATTTGCATTTCCCTAATGACTATAATGTTGAGCATCTTTTCGTGTACTTGTTGGCCATGTGTATATCTTCTTTGGAGAAATGCTATTCAAGTCCTTTGCCCATTTTGATTGGGTTGTTTTTGTTGTTGAGTTGTAGGAGTTCTTTATATATTCTGGATACTAGACCCTTATCAGGTATATTATTTGCAAATATTTTCTCCCATTCTGTAGGTTTCCTTTTCACTATCTTCATAATGTCCTTTGATGTGCAAAAATTTTTAATTTTGATGAAGTCCAATTTATCTATTTTTTCTTTTGTTGCTTGTTTTTTTTGGTGTCACATCTAAGAATCCATTTGCCAAATCCAAGGTCACAAAGATTACCTCTGTGTTTTCTTCTAGGTGTTTTATGGTTTTATCTTTTACATTTAGGAAGTTGATCCATTTTGAGTTACTTTTTGCATTTGGTGTAAGATTGGGATCCAACTTCATTCTTTTGCACGTGGATATCTAGTTGTCCCAGGACCATTTGTTGAAGAAACTATTCTTTTCTCAATGAGTGATCCTGGGACTCTTATCAAAAATCAGTTGGCCATGGTTGTATGGGAGACAGACACTCTTGACTGTGAGAACTTTGGCAAATAATTTCATTTTGAACTTTTATTTTCTCACCTATAAGATGGGGGAGGATAACCTCTTTCTCTCGGAGGTGTCAGGATGAAATGAGATCACATCTGGAGCATGTCAGTCACAGCATCTGGCACAAAGTAAGTTCCCCAGTGAATGTCAATTCTTCCCTTGCTGCAAGAAATAGAGGCGGGGTAAGCAGTGTTACAGCCATCCCCTCTATTCCTCCTTCTTATTCGTGTTTCCAGGACACAGGAGACCCTAGACATAGAAATGTCTGTTTTTGCCTCCACTGTTTGCTGAGTATATCTTACACCCTTGGACAGAGATGGCGGGGAGGAAGGTCACAAGAAGTGCTTAGCTAGGAATACAGGCCGGCAAATGAAATGGTGGTCAGTCTTTAATAATTCAATCAGCACTCAATAAACATTTACCTAGTGCTGACTTTGTGCCAGAATCTGTTACAAATGCAAAAGGCTGCCCCTGCTCTCAGAGAGCTCTCAGTCTAGAGGGAGAGACAGACTGTTAAGTAGGTAGTTATAAAACAGTACAATACGTTCTGAGATAGAATGAAGCACATATAGAACGAAGCTGTAAGAGTGTGCAAGAATTCTAGCCAGAGGACTCAGGGAAGCCTTCTGGGAAAAAGTGATGCTTCAGCTGGATAATAAATGATTCATAGGAAGGAGCAGAAAGGTAGACTAGAGGGAAAAGTGTTAGCACAGGAAACATCACATACAAAGCTATGAAGGCATGAGTATACGTTCTGGGTTCTAGGAGATGAAAAATATTCTAAGGTGCCTGGAACACAGGAGAGGGCTAAGGGGTGGGTTGAGAAAATGGTTTGACTTTATTTAGGTGGTTATTGGGAGCTGTTAATGAGGTTTAAACAGGGAAGAGACGTGGCCGGATCTACATTAGAGAGATGGATAGGGAGACCAGTATGGAAAATGGATGACTGGGAAGAGGATGAGGCTGGAGGCAGGGAGATGAGTTGGGAAGAAGTGCAGTGGTGAGGATGGAGAGGAGGGGCATTGTCAGGTGGATTCATGGCAAATCAGATATGGGAGTGTGGGAGAGGCCGACTCTCAGATTTCTGACTCGGGGATTTGGCCATGTGGCCATTCACAGGAGTGAGGAACAAAGAGAAGAAAAAATGATGTTTGCTTTTGCAGATGGATCCAGGTGGAGATAGCCAGTAGACAGACCATAGGTGGGACTGGAGGGTAAAAGAGAGTTTGAGCAGGAACAGGGTTAGTATAAAAAAATCACACAGGGGGCTGGCCCCGTGGCCACGTGGTTAAGTTCGGCGCTCCGCTGCAGGCGGCCCAGTGTTTCGTTGGTTTGAATCCTGGGCACGGACATGGCACGGCTCATTAAGCTATGCTGAGGCAGCGTCCCACATGCCACAACTAGAAGGACCCACAGCGAAGAATATACAACTATGTACTGGGGGACTTTGGGGAGATAAAGGAAAAAAAAATAAAATCTTTAATCACTGGTACTTGACCCCAGTTTAAAAAAAAAAAAATCACACAGGATTGTCTGGTCTGCTAAACGGAGAAGTGAGTTTTATTTGTTTTGATTTGTTTTGTTCTTGACAATTAAAATATTAATGAGTTTTATTTTAATACCAAAAGTATAAAGAAAAAAATACTGCCCATAATCTCACTGCTCAAATAACCCCTGTTGAAAGAGAGAGAGGAGAATATAAATTGTTTCAAAATACAAGCAGTTGGGAGAAGTATAAGATGAAAAGTTCAGGCCTCCCCCCAGTCCTCCATTCCCTCAATCACTGTTAACACTTTCTTGTGTTTCCTTCTAGGAAGAAAATGCATATACCCACTGGGTTCGGTACACCCCTGAAGGGGTCCCGCTGCATGCCGTGTTTAAGAGGTCTGTTCTATTGAGCAGATTAACCTTCTCACTGCTTTGCCAGGCATCACAAACCCATCTGTCCTGAGGGGGGCGACCGGTGGGCCCCGCCATGGGAAGGCAGAGCTCCATGTGCCCGGCTCAGGCATGGGAGCGGGGTCAGGGCAAGTGCTCAGGGAAGACGAACCGAACAACCTGCTGCCGCACCGTGGAAATTTGGCCGGCCTTTGCGTGCAGCTCCAGTTGGTGAAGTGACTTCCTCAGTCAATGTGTTCTGAGTTCTGACAAGTGTGCAGTGCTGTGTGTGGGTGGTGGGGGAGGGAAGGCGGAGGACTGGGCTCCTGGCCTCACCAAAGGGCAGAAGTGGAAAGGCCAGAGATCTTCCAACCCTCTCACTTTTTGAGGAGGAAACTGAGGTCCACAGTGAGGTTATGATTTTCCTAAAGCCACATGGCCTGTTGGTCCCAGAGCCAGCTCTGGGGCCTCAGAAGGTTGAGGGGCGGGATAGGAGCCCCTGGTGGCCTTCTGGAGGGTTGGTGAGCTACTCTCACTCTTTTCTACCCCTCTCCTCCTGCCATAAAAGTAGCAACAACCCCCAATTCCAAATCCCCAGACAGAGGTGAGACCTTGGAGATGCCCTGTGCAGCCCTTGGCCCTTGACCTCTGTGTAACTGGGCGGGGTTGGCTGACATCCTGTTCCTATTAGAGGCCGTGAAGCTGGTGAAGGAGGAAGAGCACTGGACTGGGAGTCAGGAAGCCTGGACTCCAGTGGCGGCTCTGCAACACCCCACCATATTGCTACAGGCCGTCACATCCTCTCTCCTCTGAATGTGAGGGCGGCTCTAACTAAATCTCCCAGGACCTTCCCACCATTATTGCTCTCTAATTGTCAGATGCTATATTTAATCAATTACAGGAAATCGGATTTCAGGATTCTGGGATTCTGGCATCCTGGTGTTCCAAGATCCCTGGGATGCTGCTTGAGGTATCTCAGTCTGTGCAGGCTCCTGTGTTGGGAGACCTGCCCTGTTGTGTAGCATGGAGGGGCTGGATCCATATACATGTTCCAATTTGAGACCAAGGCCAAAGAGACCAGACCCGCCCTTCAAAGAGTGCAGAGCCAGGCAGCACCTCGCGGCCGGCCGCGCAGGTCCCCAGCAGACGGGGCAGAGGAGGAAGTGGGCAGGAAATGCAGAGACCGCCTCAGGGCCTCGCTGCATCGCCAGCAGCCCTGACAGGTGGGCTGGGCCGGCTGAACAACCCGGTTTTACACAGGAGGAAACTGAGGCTCAGAGAAGGGAACTGAGCCACGGCTTCCGGTCGCTGTGAAGTCTTGTCCTTTGTCCGCTGTTCTTTCCACCCCTTGGGCAGGGCTCCCTGAGACACTGCTATTAGTGAGGGGACCCCAGAACGCAGTGGAGCAGGGTCAGACGAGTGGGTCTCCACCCCGAGGCCTGTAAGCATCTGCTGGGAGCGCACTAAAATCTAGGCGCTGGCACCCCACCCCCAGACAGGTTCACAGATTCAACGGGAGTATTCTCTAGCTGAGATCCGCGCATTTGCTTTTGTTCGTCTTTTTTTTTTTTTTTTAAGGAAGATTGTCGCCGAGCTAACATCCGTGCCAATGTTGCTCTGTTTTGTAGTGGGACGCCGCCTCAGCACGGCTGATGAGCGGTGCGCAGGTCCGTGCCCAGGATCCGAACCCCGGCACCCGCCGCCAAAGCGGAGCGCCGAACCCAACCACTACGGCCCGGCCCAGCCCCTGCTTGTTTCTCTTTTAACCTCGGAGTTGGAGACCCTGTCGCCAGGATTCTTTCCGATGAGAAACACCACAAAATCAAAAACGTAAAACAAGTGGTTCGAGGCCTGGGCTCGGGTCCCCACCTTGCTGCCGGCTCCCCGTGAAATCGGTGCGAGGTCCCGAGCGAGCGGGTCGGATTCGGCAAGAAGACCGTGAAGGCGCTTTCTCGTGTGTCGCCCCCGCGCCAGCAGGTCGCCCGTTCCCCTCCGACGGGGAGAACCCTGACCGGGGCCAGGGGGAGGGTGCCGCGCCGGCCCCCGGGAGACGCGGGGGGGACAGCGCGCGCGAGCCGGGCCGTCCTGACACTCCCCGCGCCCCGCCGGCCCGGCCGAAGACCGTGCCCGGCCTCCGCCGGCCGCGACGCCGCCTGTCAAACCTTCCGCCCGGCCCGCGCCGGCCCCGCCCGGCCCCCCGGCGACGGGGCCCCGCCCTCGCGCCGCCATTGGCCTCTGCGGGCGGCCGCCGCGCGCCAGTGGCCCGAGCGGCTGTCGGGCAGGCAGCGCCCCGCCCCGCCCCCGGAGCCGCCCGGGACGCGGCGGCCGCGCGGCTGGGGGCTGCGGCGCCAGTGCAGGCGCGCCGAGCCGTGCGCCCCCGGAGCTGCGGCGGCCGCGGCGAGGTGAGAGGGCGCGCGGCCCGCCCGGGCGCCGGGCCGAGAGCTGAGACTGGCGTCCCAGCGACGCTCGAACCCGGGGAGCTTTGGGATGGCGCGGGGAGCGCCGAGGGGAAACGAGAGCCTGGGGGCCCCGGGCCCTCGACCCGGGAGGGGTGATGGAAGGGCCGAGGCTCTGGGGATGGGAACGCGGCGCGCGTGTGTGGAGTATGAGACAGTGCAACTGATGGTGTTGCTGAGGGTCTGAGCGGGTGAATGAGAGTGTGGTATGTGTGGCACGTCGTGTCCCCGAGTGTGCACTTGTAGGGGAGTGTGGTGTGCGTGAGAGCGGGCGTGCACGGGCGTTACTGACCTTGTGCGGGTTTGTGCGCGCGATGGGCTCATTTTCTCTGCTGCGCGCGCGAGTGTGCGTGACTCGGTGTGCGTGTGATGGGTTCGCGTCGCGGGAGTGAGCGTCCATCCGTGGACTCCCATTTTGGCCGTTTCGGTGGTCGTGGGTGAGTCTTGGAGGGTCTGCGCCCACGACCCGTGAGTGCGCAGTCCGCCATCCCCGCGCGCAGCCGGTGACCCACCCGTTGCAGTCTTCCCGGCTTTGCCAGAGCCCTGCCTTGGGAATCCTCGTTGCCACACGCTCGCGGTGTCACTGGATGACGCCCCACAGGCTCTCTCCCCTCTCCAGGCCTCAGTTTCCCCATTCGTCCAAAGAGGGCTGGTCTCGGTGGAGGCGGATTTGGGCGGGAGGGTGCAGGGGCTTCGCGGAATGCGCTGCGGCGGGGGTGGCCGGGGCCCTCAACACGCCAGGGGAGGAAGTACGAGCCACTCGTGCGCCCAAGAAGGGACTTTTACACGGGATCCGGCGGGTTTGTCGGGTTAGGGTAAGTGTGGTGGCGCTAACCCATTTTAGAGAGGAGAAATACACTGAGGGGCGGTGACCTGCCCAAACCTCGGCTCTGGGACCAGAAGGGGGCCGCTCCCCTCATTCTAACGCGCCTGTGCTGTCTCCCCTCCCCAGGAGCCCGGCGCGACCCCAGCAGCGCGCCCCGCCCGGCGCCATGCACTGCGAGGTGGCCGAGGCGCACTCGGACAAGAGGCCGAAGGAGGCCCCCGGCGCTCCGGGCCCCGGCCGCGGGCCCGCGGGCCTCGGCGCGCACATGGCCTTCAGGGTCACCGTGAGCAGCGGCGGCTGCGGGGACGGGGGCCCGCGCGACCTGCTGCCCCGGCCGCCCGCGCCGCCGCCGCGCGCCCACGACCTTCTCCGGCCCCGGAGCCCGCGAGACTATGGTCCGTCCAAGGCCGCCGCCGCCGGGAAGGGTAAGTCCGGCCCCGCCAGCGTGCCTGGCCGCGGGTGTGGAGAGTTCGGGCTGCCTGGCGTCCCCGCTGCACGCCTTTGGTGGGAGTCTCCGGAGAACTTGATGGAATTTTCTCCGGAGTTCATCACTTTCTCTCAACTTGTTTGGGACTCGCTTGTCGTTCGGAAATGATGCCAGTTTAGGAAGCATCTAATTTAAACTCAATAAACCCATTTTGGGGAAATGTGTGTATAGAAAGCTCAGATTACATAGTTTTGCTTCTGTTTCTGATAAAAGTTGTGTGCAACTTGTCAAAATCTCATTATAAATTTGGGTGAGTAGCAACTCAAGTATCACTGTCTTTGAGCCCGCTGAGGCATCCTATTTTGGAGTATTCCACCATCCCTAAATAAAAACCAGAGGCCTTCAGCGAGCGACACCCCTCCCCTCTTGGAACCTCAGTTTCCTCATCTGTCAAGTATGGAATTAATTATAGCTGATGATTTCTGGATTCCTGATGGAAAATTTTATGAATGTGTAATCTAGCCTGAGTCAAGTCCTGACTTAAAAAAATGGCTTTTCTGTACTTAATGCTTCAGAAGCATCGTCTTTGGTCAAAAGTTTCTTTGCAGTCCCCTTCCTCTGCCCGCGGGGCTGGTGGGGATGAGGTGCAGGCCTCCTGTGGTTAATGGGTCAAAGTCAGCAATGATGCCTGGATTCTCATGAACGTGTTCTTCTCATCATGGTTAATTATTATTGAGCCATTATTTATAAGTTTCATGCTGACAGATAATTAACCAGAAATTGGGGAAATTGTTAAGGTGCTGGTCCCCCCCCCCCCCTTTCTTTTCCTGGGAGAAACCAAGGCTTTGGGGTTTGATTATATTGGCATTTGGGACCTTTTGGCTCAATTTCCGGATGATCCTCAAGGAAGACAGAACAGTTTGTGTTTTATGGCTCTATAGGCATCAGCCCCAGAAAGTTAGAAAAGGTAGAGTGGCCTGCTTTTAGAGAGGAAAGCTCCTTCTGGGTAAAAAAAATACCCAACTTTCCAATTCAGGGGCTGGTAAAATGAAACAAACATAAATAGTTTTTTTCTTTTTGGTGAAAACCCCTGACTTCATAGGAGAGAACTATTTTTCATCTGGTTGTTTTAAATGTCAGTCTCTTTTCCAAGAGATAGCGATCAGTTTTTCAAAGGATAGATATAGGAAAAACACTGCCTTTAGAGCATTATTGCTGGAACGCGCATTGAGGCTCTCTCCTGCTAGGGAGAGAGGGGTGCTGCACAGCAGGACGCAAGTAATATTTGCTGCCCTGAGCTCCCTGGCTTGCCCCCTCCATACACAATCCTCCCTTAAACAGATACCCTCCTGCGACATTTTGCATTTAAAAAAATTGTAGCTGTCATCTGAAGCTCCACTTCTCCGCAGACCTAGTGAATGGCTCTCCCAAATGTGGCCTTTGTTGCCAGCCGTGGTTAGAGACCTTCCATCTGGATGTTTTGTGTATGATCTTCCTGCTTCCATTCCCCTAAACCGCAGTTGTTTTTATCCACCCCCCCATGTCTAAAATATGAGATCTTTAAGTCAGGATTTTATTTGGAAAAGGGCCGGGGTGGGGGATAAAAGGATGGAAGGCAGAACCTCTTCTTTGTACCCTAAGATGGTCATTCTGGTTTAGCTTTCTGTAAGAGGCTTCTAAAGTTTTCTTCACAGCCTCTGGGCGAGGCTGGTGGGGTAGGATTTACCAGACCCATTTGAAAGATGAGGAAACTGAGGCCTGAGGATGGAGGAAGTGTCTCATCTGTAAAGGTCTGGGTGAGCATCTCAGCCCAGCCCATTGCTTGCGGACCTGGGCGTGGGGAGCTTTCCGACCTGGGCTTTGCCTCGCTAGGCAAATCTTCCTCACAGTCAAGCCACCTGGTGGCCTGAGACAAAACCAGCTTGCCAGCCAAGCTCTGGCAGCCCTCTTAACAATGCCACAAGGAAACGGCACCGTCTTACTACCCCTGCTCCCACCGGAATATTCCCCAGACCACGTAACCCTTTTTTGTTGGGTGTCCAGCTCCAAGCCTCAGGCTTGTTGGAAGCGGATAGAAATACCAATTGAAAAATATTTACTGACTCTGCTGGAAATTCTAAGACCTGCCGCCTCTGAGTGGTGGGGCAACCTTGGGGAAGTTATTTCACTCTCTGAGCCTCTGTTTCCTTGTTTGTAAATGGGCTGTGAGACTTACTTTGAAAGACTGGGGAGAACATCAGTGGCAGAGTGTGAAGGAGCCGCCCCGGCGCCTGGTTACGTTGGGGATTACTGTTGAAGCTTGTTTAAGGTTCTCAACTTCTAGTTTTTCATTTGCATGAGAGGTAGTAATGCCTACCTTCCAAGGCGAATGAAACGACAGTTGTAAGAATTCTTAATAAACTAAAAAGGTGGAAGGGGTCACTTTTGTTAATTCATGCAGGGCACCGGGCCAGGGTCAGTGATACTTGAGATAAAGTGGGTAGGCCGAGGAGGGAGAAAGGTTTGATTTTTAAAATGTGGACTTTGAAGAGCACTAACTCTGGGGCACTAGCCGGGGGAAGCTGAGAGGAGCCGAGCTCAGGTCTTTTGTGGCCGCTGCTGCCCAGTGACCAGAGAGAAGACAGTATGGCTTGGTCTCGGGTCAGGTTTCAGCTGATCTGCCTTCCGCCTTGGACAGACCCTCCGCTGAGGAAGGAGGAAGGAAGCGCGCTCTTGAATCCAGCGGCTTGGCCATGAAGGTTAGGGTCCTCTGTGTTTCCAGATCTGGAGTCAGGAGGCGCTGGGGATGGTGCGACGTCATGGACTAACATTGTCATCATTTACAATAAGAATCACGATCTGTTTATGGCAGAGTCCCGTTTATCCAGATTCCAAACAGCTGGAAAGGCCAAATTACCAGATGCTGCGTTTTTCTTTCTTCTTATTAAACACCCGACACTCTGCTTTTGGAAGCCCTGACAAGGAGAGAAGGTAAACATCTGGGGTTTGTGGAGGCGGTCAGCTTTGTGACGCTGGCCCCATGGCGCGCGTTCCCCGTACACAGCGCTTCACAGTTTTCAGCGTGTGTCCCCACACATCCTCTCATCTGCCCTCCCGCCAGCTAAGCTCTGCCTGTGGGGGGGGCTTTCCGAGGGAACCTATGGGTAACCTCTGCGGTCTGTGAAGTGCTGGGCAGATAGTGGTTCTTATTGCTGTGACTCCATTTTATAGATGAAGGCATTTCGGGTTAAGGATGTGCTCAAAGCTACAGACAGTAAGTGGCAGTTTCCAAGGCTTTCTGTTCCAAATACTCAGTTCTGGCTCCACAATTTGTACCTTCTACAGTGTGCGTTGGCGGCTGAGAGCTGGCGTCCACGACGGCCTCCCGAATGTTCCCAGAGAATTTAAAGTATTTTTACTTTTGGTATTTCTTGTGTCTCGAATCTTTGGGAATTGGTGACTAGTATCTATGCCATAGTTAGGGAACTTCTTAGTTTACCGGATGATTTCGTTTGTCCAGAGTTGCTCCTCCTGCAGCAAAACAGATAATTCCCAGCCACTCAATGGGCCCTTTTCACCGTGCGCCGAGACTGGACGTGTCCTAGCAATAAAAGGAAGCAGGTGATCACAACAAATGTGGGCTCTGCCCTTAGGAAACAGCCGTCAAAACATGGCTGTAAATGCCAAAAAGTAGTCAATCTTGTAACTTAAAAATAAATAGCTAGTATGTATATTTTTTTCTTTAGAAATGAAAACGAAAAAGGAAAGCCATTGTGGATTGTGTGCACGGGCGTCAGGGGCTGGTGGTGGCCGAGAGTAAGCGTGAAGGTTTTGGTGATATTACCTGGTGGAGCTTCTTCATCGGAATCAGAAGCCCCCGTGATGTTGCGGGGAGGCCTTGGAGGGGCTGGTGCGGCCCTAATAGAAGGGTATGAGTTATTGGGAAAGCATTTACCCCCTCCGGCTCTGGTGGGCAATTTGCTTGCATTTCATCCATTTTAAAGTGCTGGTCCTGGGATCCGGAAATAATCAGATCCAAATTTTTTCAGTGCTTGAGGTTTCAAATAAGGGGGAGGAAAACCTGCTGGCCAAATGTCAGGCTCAGTGAGACAAAGAGAAACATTTATGTGTGTGGGTATACAAATAAGATAGGGACATGTTGCGTCTACAGTCATAAGAGTTATGCATCCAACAAATCTTTTATGGACATGTAGCGGAAATATAATTCCTGAAGATTCCCTAAGAATCTTGTGCGGCTCCGATTTCTCTTCCCATCTTGCCTCCCAAGCTCTCTAGAAGCTGCTGAGACTTGGCGTGCGAAAGGGGACCATCACATGAGACGGTGCCTTAATTCAGCCTTGTTGTTTCTGAGTACTTTACCTGCCGCGTGCTTAGCTGGGCTGAGGTCCCAGCAGCCTCCTAGCCGTGGACTCATATTGGTTGACTGTGTTGCTCTGTCTATGATGAAAAAACTTAAGTTTCTTTATAGCCGTGGTTTTCCTTCACACGTCTACTCCTTCTCAAAAAACCAAAACCCACCCTATCTTTGAGTTATTCATCTCCCTGTGTTACATTTGCGTGAGAAGCTAAGTAAGCCAGCACACTTATTTTTACAGTGCGTTAAAATCCCATTACAGGCATAAGTGCACAATGAATCATTTAAAAAAATATATTCTTATGTTCTTTGTTCTGAATGTTGCATAATTATTGTCATTTTCTTCGGTTTTATTTTGTGGAGTTTGGCCAGCATCCTGGAAAAGGAGAGAAACTAAAGTTTGGAATAGGGTTTTCAGTCCTTTTTTGGATAGGATTAGGGAAAAAAACAACAAACAAATAAATGCCAACTTTATTTCTAAGTTGACCGGCGACCCTCGATAACTGTGGCGTTTGCTTAGAGAGAATGACTTCCCTTCCTCCTCGCAATTTTCTTTGAAAAGAATTCCCTGTTTTGAAGCCGATGTGCTGATATTTCCACAAGCTCACCTTATATATACCATTATATTCAAAGTTAAATTATAA